TCAAAGCTATAAAAAAGAGAAAAAGAACTCCCTCCCCTTCTTAATTAAAGCAAAATTGTACTATGTAATTATTTCAATTGGACTAGAATTGACATACCATATTTAAGAATTGATCCACTTTTTCCACTACCAACCTAACTCTTGGCTTATTAATGCAAACCCGATTTCTCTAAATGTAGGCACATCATAAAAATCATGTGCTTGTTTTGCACATCAAATATTCATTTGTTACTTTTTCAGTAATAAGGTTATATTTGTTTTTTTTTAGTCTACAATAAGCCAACTCAGAATATTATCAGAATTTCCGTTTCAAAACATGATCATTTAATTGTTTTGATTCTTATAATTTTCACCAATAGCTGAATTTTCTAAAGTTGTTTAACTCATAGACTTCAAAGAAAAGATACAATGTTCAATTACTAGAAGTAACCTGCGGAGACAAAATTGGATGTTAATATTATTCAAAACGAGAAAAAAATCTGAAACTATAAGATTATCCATGAAAACAGGACATAAAAATTACAAGCAGTAAACACAGCTCTTAAGCACAATAGTAAACGTGAAGGCATTCTTAGATTCTACTCATTTGGTATTGGGAGAGTCACTTTACTATTGGATGCCACAGTTTCTGCATTTGTGAAATGCAAGCCTGTACCAGGTCTCTGGGAAGCTGGGAAAATTAACTTTTGCTTTACTGTGATTCCAAGGTGAAGAAAATCCTGCATGATGCTAAATCTTGCTCAAAGCATTCTGTAACAAAATCGCCTTATCTGTGTTAAATAGTATTTAAATATAGACTAAAAGTAAAGAATTTTGCTTGGGTCATTTTTGCCCTGAATTGCAGTTTTTCATTATCTATTTATAGAGATTCTTAATGACTATAATTATCAGACATGTCAAATTTAACTATCAGCTAAACTTTCAAATTAGAGGCAACATAGTAGAAGGTGATATACTAATGTATAAAAGGAATAGAATTATGGTTCTCTGTTCAAATTCCCTGAGGATTTTACTACAGGACTGGAAAAAAGAAATAGTTGCTCTGCTTCTCAAAAAAGAAGTTTAATCCTAAGGACAACAAGATTAGTGAGAAATAACAATTTTCCAGAGAAGGAGTTTTTTACTGAATAATCCATCAAACAAAACAAGTAGAAACTGAAGGACTCAGTACTGAGTATTGGGTTTTCACATAATTGTTGTGTTTACTGATTACTTAAAATAGCAAAAAAGGGGATTAACAAAAAATTAGGGCCATTCCACAGTATCTCAATAATAAATAAACATTGGGAGAAAGATTTATATAAAAAGATTTATATATATAAAGATTTATATATACCTATATTATTGATTTCAGAGAGGGAGGAAGGAAGAGAGAGAGAGAGAGAGAAACATCAATGATGAGAGAGAATCATCCATTGGCTACCTCCTGCACACCCCCTACTGGGGATCGAGCTTGCAACCTTGGCATGTGCCCTTGACTGGAATGGAACCTTAGACCCTTCAGTCCTCAGGCCGATGCTCTATCCACTGTGCCAAACCACCTAGGGCAGGAGAAATAGTTTTAAATTACAAATGTATTTTACCCCCAAGAGATGTTGGCATTGAATAATTTGTGTGTGTGTGTGTGTGTGTGTGTTTTCTCTGTATCTGTGATTCACTTTTTTTTCCTAATATAGGAATTCTATACTTATAAAGAACACAGAGATATATAGCCTTTTGTGAACTGATGCATATTAAAATAAACATGATCAGATGAAAATGCAAGATGTCTTCTAGAGATGAGAAGGAATGAAGAGCACAATTAAAACTGTATTAAATACAGTGATTAAGATGTCACAACTTAGATTTTTTTCACTTACTGGAACATTTATAGTAAAGTTTACAGACCTAAAAAATTAGAACTTAGCTACTAAAGGTAAAATACTCACATTAAATAACATTATAAGAATACTAGCAACAAGAGTGTAGGCTCAAGAAGAACAGAGAGTGAGGTACTATAAGTTTCTGCTTAGAACTTCATGTTTATCCTATTTCCTTAATAAAGGTAAATCTACATTCCAATAAAAAATGGTACAAACACTAAAGATAAAATTATCATTCAACAAAATAGTATTATTTTCTCATATTTTAAATCCATTATGCCCTTGCAAAGCTTGACCCACTGCATTTGCATGATTCACGTCAACGTATGAGAATTTAATGGCCCACCCACTTCAGTCTCATGTTGAAATAACAATGGCTTTCTAGATACAAGACTGTGATCTAATTCTCCCTTTATCCTAAATGAATTGAGTATAGTCCTGTACTTCCCTTGGCTATAAAATGAGGAGAATAAAATCTTTCCTGTTTACATAGCAAAGTAAATGTTATGAACCGCAAGTACATGAGATATCATAATTTCTTTGATAAAGACATTTCACTGATAAATTTTCTTTGAATATTATCTCCTAGTTCATCATGTTGTTAATAATAACACTGCCAGAATTCTACTTAGTTTACTGATGAGAATCTCACTAAGGACCTAATCAAAGGCCTTAGTGCGATCTAGATTAACCTGAATCTCTTTCTTTTAATTATGTAAAGTAGAAGCAGCACACTATTCCTGTCTGTGATGCATAGAAAGTCCTGAGTTCTAGTCCTATATATATACCCTTGGCTATGTGATTTATCTCTTAGGGCCTCAGTTCACCTATTAATCTTACAGACAATTATCAATCATAATTAATTATACAAGTTGTTGGTAAACTGGACACTTTTTAGAAAATATGAGTAAGATGATTTATAATTTATTTTCAAAGTTCAAGTCTTTCACTTCAAAGAATTTTCCTGTGGGACTGTTCCTTTATTGAAGTTTCTAAACAATCTTTTATTCTCAGGCTATAATCCAAACTCTATAGGATCTGACAAATCCAATGCATAACCAACGTACAATAGGACATTTAAAAACATCTTCTAGATACTCTCTTCAGACTCAGTATCATATTTCATTTAGGGATTGAATTGAAATTATTATCCTCCCAGATGACATTTTAGTGAAATGGAAATGCTTTTCTAAATAGGACTCTAGTGTTCAGAAAACCTTACTAGAAATCTTAAGTGTAACTAACTTTTTGAAGGAAGCAGTAAAGCACTAGAACAAGTCTTTCATGAGTAATGTCTATCTGAATATATTCTAAGAAAATGTAGACCCCTTTTCAGCATATTATAAAAAGCACTGGTATCTTGTGATGCAAATCATTATTTTCTTGAGTTAGGACTTTAAAATGCAAGTAGTTATTCTGTTGTTTGTCACCATAGTTCATGAGTTTTGTTTTGCAAACTATTTGATTTGTCTCAAAAAAAATCCTTTTCTTATATTCTCAAATAAATGTTTCATAGTAACTGATCAAACAACATTGGAGAAATAAAGGAATTAATGAAGTTTCTGAAAGCATTTAACAACTAGAATATAAACAAGGACTGGCAGAATTTGTTTAAAAACTATTTTATCTATGGAGGTAATAGCATTAAGAGATAGGTAACATTTTAAGTGAGACAGTTGACTTACCTATGCATTTGGTTCCATCATTAGTGATAAATCTGACTTGGTTACTGCTGGATCGAAAACCAGGTGCACACATACAATAGTAACTTCCCTCTGTGTTAGTGCAGTTAGCATTTTCACCACAGGACTGGGTTAAATTTCCACACTCATTATCATCTGTGTAAATATAAATTTAAAACATTATTTTTATATAATTGAGATGAAAATAGTAGGCTATTTTCCATTAGACATTGGGGATTTGACTGTTAAATAGTTTAAGGCAATACAATGTTTTTTTCTAAGAAAAGTTAGGACTAGAGAAACCACATTCCATACTTGTGTTATTCTTGTTTATAATGTAAAAGCTTCTTTGCAGTTGCAAAACAAAATAGAATCTCTTACTTCAAAAGTAGTGAATGTTGCTGGTGAATCTATATTGGAATATTTTCATATTGTCTATGTAACTTAATTATAATAATCTCAATTTGTGAATTTATAATACTTATAATCAGCCCAAAGTATTCCATAAGTTAAAAATGACATGTTCTAATCATGTACATTTTTATCACTTGTTCCCAACAATAAATTTTAATTAGTAGCTCTATATCACTTCATTTATTCATTAACACATTAATTACTATATGCATTATATTGTCCTATAGAAAAGTATACAAATGCACACAAAACTGTACTATGGCCCATGGTCCTTCCCCTTGGATTCTTTTTTCTTTTTGGGTTAATGCTTTTCTTTTTAAAAAATTTACTAAATTTATTGCGGTGACATTGATAAATAAAATTATATAGGTTTTTACCTATACAATTTTATAACACATAATCTGCATATTGAATTGTGCTTTTACCACCTAAAATAAAAATCTTTTTTCACCATATGTTTGGCCCCCTTTACCCTTTACTACCTCCCTCTGTTCTTTTTCCTTCTGTTAACCACCATCTTGTTGTCTGTGCCTGAGTTTTTGTCTGTCTTGTTTGTTCATTTGCTGCTTTCAGTTCTATATCTCACATATGAGTGAAATCATCATTCACAGTGGCAAAAAAGTGGAAACAGCCAAAGTGTCCTTCCATGGATGATTGGATAAAGATGATATACACTGAGTAGCCAGATTATTATGACCGGCCAGATTATTATGACCACCCCATCAGTACTTCATTGACACTTCCAAAAATACTGAATATTAAAAACTTCCTAAGCAAATTCTCGCAAGGTATTGTTATTATTATTATTATTATTTGCATAACTAATTCACTTCATTCACTTCATTGTTGGGGTGATCATAATAATCTGGCTGGTCATAATAATCTGGCCACTCAGTGTATATGCACAATGAAATACTACTCAGCCACAAAAAAGATGAAATACTGTCATTTGTGACAACTCTTAGGTGTGTATAACATAACTAGAGGCCCAGTGCATGAATTTGTGCATGGATGGGGTCCAGCCAGTCTGCCCTGATTGGGGCTGATTGGCTGAGGGGGGGGGGGTGATCAGGGGTGGGGCCTGCCAGGGCAAGGGGTCATGGGCAGTTGGCTATATGGCCCTGCCCCTGATCAGGGTGGGGGCGTGACCAGGGGCAGGGCCAGCTGGGGGAGGGGCCAGGGTAAGGGGTCATGGGCAGTTGGCTATATGGCCCTGCCCCTGATCAGGGTGGGGGCGTGACCAGGGGCAGGGCCAGCTGGGGGAGGGGCCAGGGTAAGGGGTCATGGGCAGTTGGCTATATGGCCCTGCCCCTGATCAGGGTGGGGGCATGACCAGGGGCAGGGCCAGCTGGGGGAGTTGGCCCTGCTACCTGGTCCAACTCCTGATTGAACTCCTGGTCAAGGGGACAACTTGCATATTAGCCTTTTATTATATAGGATTTGCCAGAAAATATATAGGTTCATAATTCCTTTGTGAAGTCAGAAAGTATATTTATATTATCTCTATATATAAAAGCCTAATATGCAAACTGTTCCCATGGGAGTTGAACCAGGAGACTAGGAGTTTGATTGCTCACTCTGACATGCGCTGACCACCAGGGGGTGGTGCGGAATGACGGGAGACCCCGGCCGGTGGCCGGCACCTGGGGAAGGGAGGCCCTGGCCGGCTGCCGGAAGGCCCTGATCGGAACTGATTGCTGGCCAGGCCTAGGTACCCTACCCATGCATGAATTTCTTGCACTGGCCCTCTAGTCTGTCAAATAAATGAAATAGAAAATAAGTGATTATGGTGGTGAAAGAGAATATTTTTTGGTCCATAAAATCCTATTGTGGGTTGAATTTTACCTCCCAAAAAGATATGTTTAAAACCTAATCCATTGTTTGTGGATGTAACTTTATTTGAAAATAGGATCTTTGCTGAAGCAATCAAGTTAAGATGTGGTCAGAGTGGATTACCTGGGCCCCAATCCAATGACTGGTGTCCTTATACTTATGGGAAATTTGGACAAGGAGACACAGAGGAGAAGGCTATGCACAGACAGATGCAAGGATAGCTGGCAACGAGTAGAAGCTGGTAAGAGACAAGGAAGGATTCTTCCAAAGACCCTTCAGAGGAAGAATGGCTTTTCAAACACTTTGATTTCAGGCTTCTAGCCTCCAGAACTGTGAGGAAATACATTCATGTTGTTCTGTGCTCGTTTGCTAGGAGAGCCCTGAAAATTAATAGATCCAAATTGGCCAATGTAGTACAGGTAAGTAAGTATTGGTTAGAGAGAGAGAAGGAAGGTCACTAAAGAAAGACAGGATGTTGGGCAACTGTGTAAGCATAGGTTGACTGAGTCATTTCTGAAAGTCTAATTGAAAAGCAGAGAAATATATCATAGGCAATTAGGTATAAAAACAAGTCAAGATTAAAAACATCTTAGATTTTTATTTTCCATTTTAGCAAAACAAAGTATAATTTCTTTTTAAAGAATAAATCAGATAACCTTTAATTCATACACAGGCTATTGTACACATTTAGTGATAATTATGAGTTGAATTTTTTTCAAACATTTTATAAATATTAATTTGCACTCTAGGAAGTAGGTACCATTATTATCCTCTCATACGGATGAGGAAAATAAGGCATAGAGAGGAAAAGTAATTTGCCAACATCACATAGCCACTTCATTGCAGAACCAGGAGTTTTATTTCCAAAGCCTGTTCTCTTAACTGTTGAATCCTGCTGTCTAATTAAGCATCATTTTTAAAAGCCAAAATATATCATAGAACATATCTAATGAATTATAGATCTATTTAGAGAGAAGGAAAGATATTGAGGTAATGACTTCAGAAGGAAAATGAAAACTTTATTTACATTCTAATTTTAACTTAAATTTTATTCCCACTTATTTATTTTCAAGCACTAAGGATCTAAGTACGTAAGTTAACATTGGACAGACAACTGCAGGTGAAGTCCTCTCTTTTTTCATAAATGACTACTATGAAACAGGTCAGATAAAATTTGCAAATGCTAGCATTTCAAGATATTCAACCTATTATTTAATATTAATTTTTATCATTTTTATTATATTAGTTATAATAGGTCAGCTCCCTTAAATATACAAAACCATCTAATTACTCAGGACAATAAAAGATTATTTAATGCTATAGTCAGAAACCAACTTTAGTGTTTAGGTTTATGGTGTGGCTTCTCCCACCATTTAGGGGCACAGGCTTCTTTCATTTAAAGGCTCCACCACCCATAGGGCTTCCCAGCTGTCTGTTTTTATCCAGGTGGGGAGTTGAATAGAGTATAATAGAGTATGGGCTTTGACCATAAATAGTACCCATCCTTTTCATTTATATTCTATTCACCATAATTCATTCAAATGGCCACACCTAACTATAAGGGAGGCCAGCTCGGTGCCCAAGAAGAGGAAAGAAGAAATGCTGCACAGCCCAGAAGTCTCTGAGATACTTATTTTTTCACAAGTATAATGATACTTGTATAATGAAACCAGATATTCATAGGAATACCAGAAAGAATTTCCAAATATAAGAAAATGTATTTGATTAACCACAAACTTACATAAATTAATTGGTTGGATCACAAAAGGAAGATAATATTATACTTTTGATGTTATAATTTTCTTAATCAATAAATATAATCTGAATTAGGCAAATCCATTGCATTAATAACATTTACTCTTCCCCTGGCCAACCATTTATTTTGTATAGTTATGATATTTTGGTATTGTGTCTTTAATGGGTAACAAAAGAACCATGACTTTGTCTTTGTTTTCTAGAACCTGAGCATCTTGACAGGCAAATGAAGATATAAGCAAGATAGAGCAGGAAGTGTGGGTGTGGGGAAAGAAGATGGCAAGGGTAAATAGTGGGCTCCTTCATTTTATTGGGGTGAGGAAAGAGGTCAGAGAAGATTATTGGGCATTGAAAGATGAGGCTTTCCTGCATTACATTTTTATATTATTTTATTTAGATATAATTTACATATTATGAAACAGTTAAGAGATGTCATGAACAGAAAAAAAATAATGTAAGTGATGTATGTTCATCTCCTACCTGACTATAGGGTAGTTTCATGACTTGTAGCTTCTAGGGAACCCCCTTTAAAAGATGACTGACATGGTTGTCTGATTGACATGATTAATAGCATTCCCTGAAGTCTCCCAATGGATCAGGCACCAAGCTAAGCACTTCATATACATGATCTGACTTGCATTTCTAATCCTTATATAAACCCTGTTAGACATGCATTATCCTCATTTTATAAGTAAGAAAACTGTAATATAAAATGTTGGATTACTTTGCTTTAAGAAACACAACTAATAAGGGGCAAAATTTGATTCAAGCCTAAAGTACTCCGAATGTCAAAGTGGTCTTATTTTTCTTACATACAATATTATTAAAAAGGTTTATAGTAGTAACCACTATCATTTATTCAATGTTTATTATGTGCTAGTCATTGTAATCAGAAGATTACTGTAAAATGGAAAATACATTGTGCCTACCTCAGGCTGTCAAGAGGATGAAAGGAGCTGATGTGCAGACCATGCCTAGACTGGTGCTCACTTGTAGTAAGTGCTGTATACAGGTGTGCTGACCGTATTAAAAATATTTTTATTGCTATATAATCAGCTCTTATCATACCCTATTTAAAATTCTTAACAGCTACCTGATTTTTAGCATGAAATGTAAGGTCCTTCATAAGTAAACGTGCTTTATCTCTTTTTTAT